AACTCAGAAATCTGCCTGCCTCTGCCTCCTGAGTGCTGGGATCAAAGGCATGCTCCATCACCACTCCGCTTGGCCCAGCTTTGTGTTTTTTATTTTCTATGATACATTTTCAGCACCTGTCCATTACAATCATGTATTGATATTTCCATTTAAGAAACATCTTTAATTACTATAGTTTCTTGGTAAATATGTTAACACTATTCTTTGTCCTTTGCAAATATTAACTCACTTAATTTTAATATGAACTCTTATTACTAAACAAGAAAATAAGACCAGAGAGATTAATTTGCTGAGTCATGTGACAGTAAATAGCAAAGCATTATATTCTGTCATATGACTTTCATTTCATAAGTTCCTAATGATGGGTAACTCCAGTTTAGCATTGTTAAACATTTTTATAGGCTATCTACTTTTATACCTTTGGGCATTGTTGCAAGTGTATCAGGGTAAAAAAGAATACTATTGCATCAAGGGTATACATATTATACTTTAGTGGAAATCACCAACATAACCTTCAAAACAGTAATTCTGGTTTATCCTTGCATACCCATCCTTTTTTCCCTTTTATTCTTTTTGTAATTCTCCACCATGGTAGCATGTTTGCATTCTCATGTAAATTCTGCAGTTGGAACAGCACAAATTGTTTGTAGTGGTTCCAGATAATCTGTTTGAATCTTCTGCTATATGCATAACACATAGCAATTGTTAGAGGACATGCTAAATGAATATTCAAGCTAAAGGGAGTTAGTTCCTAGGTGAATAGAGACCACATTATGTTTGAACTGGAGTAGGATGGTTAATAGACAACTAAATCCATCCCAAAGTTAACCACTGTAATTTTTTTAAACACTTTTTGTGTAAGTTTTGTATTTTTAAATTTCTACTTTTTCTTGCTATCATCTTTGTGGAATTTGACTGTAATGAGTTTGAAAATAATTTATTCATTCTTATATAGTATTCCTGTATGTGAATATTTTCTCCACTTGCTTATGGGTTGACAGGTGGGTTCTTTTCAGCTTTGGATGATTGAACACCATTTTTAATGCCTCTGGATGTGTGGTAGTAAGCTTTTCATCACTGTTAACAAAAATACCCCATGAAAAAACTTCAGTGGAGGAAAAGTCTGTGCTACCTCATTATTTCAGAGGTTTAAGTTCATTTTGACCAGCTTCATTGCTAGGTTCTCTTGATGAGGTTCGGTCAGTCACTTCTCTAAAGAGCCTACAACACACAGTCCTCTAGGGTACATTTCATAAAATATCCAAATTAAAAAAAATGGCTACAACTATGTATTTCTTAGTAATGAAGCATTTTGTCATAGAGTTGGAAAACATTCAATCTTATTCCTACCAAACTGTTTACAAATTGATTTTTTTTTTTTTTCTTGACAGGGTTTCACTGTCCTGGAAATCACTTTTAGACCAGGCTAGCCTCAAACTCAGAGATCCACCTGCCTCTGTCTCTTAAGTGCTGGGATTAAAAGCATGTGCCACCACTGCCCGGCCTATTTTCAGACTGAATGTAGCAGTCAGCATATTCCTACCAGCAAAGTATGAAAGTTCTGTTTGTTCATGTTTTTAGCAAGCACTTGGTGTCTTATATTTATTTTAACCAGTTTGATTTACAGGACGTTTATTATTCATCCTGGTGCATATATTAGTGGGTTTTCATTACTATTAACAAAATATCTGAAGCAGGCCAACTTTATAAAGAAAGATTTATTTAGTTCATAGTTCTAGAGGTCCAAAGTGAAAGACATAGGAGTTGGGACTTGTTGGGCTTCTGGCATAGTTGTAGTGACAGATGGCATTATGACTGAGAGCATATATGGGAGCCAGAGAACAGTTAATGGTCAGCTTCTTTCTTGCTTTTTATGAGAATGTCCTCAGTCTCTTCTGAGGACAACTTTTCCAGTCACCCAGAGATCTCACCAGCCCTCACCTCTCACAGGGTTCATAATGCATCCTAACACTGCCACCATGGGGACCAAGTCTGCAACACACAAACCCTTGGGGGACAAACCATATCCAAACAAGGATAGTCTGCTTGCTGATTTATTCCTAAAGCTGAGTATGCATTTTCACTTGGAGTTTGATGCTTTAAATGTCTGAGACTGGGTTACCCCTTAAGGACAGAGGAGACTTTTGATTCTCATTCCCTCTCCTCAGTACAAATTTTTTCAAAATTATTTTTATTTTCTTTGTATGAATGTCTTGTGAGTCTGTGTACTATGCATGCATCTGGTGCCTATGGAGGCCAGGAGAGGGTGTTGAATACCCTGGAGTTGGAATTATAATGCCACCATATGGGTGCTGGGGACTGAACCTGGGTTCTTTACACGAGAAGGGAGTGCTCTTAACCCACTGAGCCATTTCTCCAGCCTCCCATCCCTACCCCAGGTAAATCTTAAAAGTAGTTTCCATCATACAAAACAGGAATATTTTTCTTTTTTGCTTTTTTGGAGCCTGGGTTTATAGCCCAGGTTGGCCTGGAATTCACTGTAACTCAGGCTAATGTCAAACTCACAATACATGTCCTGCCTCACCTCCCAAATGCTGGGTTCTAGGAGTGATTTTAACATGCCTGTCTAAAAGTAGCATTTCTTGAGGGGCAGTATAGCATGGTACCCAGATCATTCCATTAGGCAAGAATCACCATGGTGACCTTTCGTAAGTTAGCTGTATCGCTATGGTATCCTTCTCTCTAAATTAACTGTAATAATGATGCTTCCATCATGATATGAAAGTAAAATCAGTTTATGTTCAGTTTTTACTTAGGACAGTTCATGGTACACCATAAGCAGTATGTCATGGTGGTGTTAATATAAATTTTATGAATGTATTTCAAGTGGGTTGATGAAATAATGGGGCTCTAATACATTTGAAATCAAAGTTTATGAATGACATTTTACTTTTATTTTAGCCTTATCGCTCTCACTCTTCTCTCTTTGGTTGCACATTATCTAGAAGATAGTGATTAACAGTGTTCGAGAGGTGGCTTAGTTGGTAAAGACACTTGTTTACTAAGCCTGAGTTAGTTCAATACCACAGAGCCCACATGGTGGAAGGAGAGAACTCATCTCTTCAGGTTGTCCTCTGACCTCCACACACTATTGTGGCATACATAGGACTCCCTCACTACACAGAAAACAAAGAAATGTAAAAGAAAATTAAGAGATTTTCTTAACTTTTAAATAAGCTTAGTTAATAAGTAATAGGCAATGTTTAACACCCTTTTTTTTTCTTTTAAAGACTTATTTATTATGTATACAACATTCTGCCTTTATGTATGCTTGTGTGTCAGAAGAGGGCACCAGATCTCTGAAGATAGTTGTGAGCCACCATGTGGTTACTGGGAATTGAACTCAGAACCTATAAAAAAGCAGCCAGTGCTCTTAACTTCTGAGCCATCTCTCCAGCCCTGTTTAACACCTCTTAAAAGATTTATTTATTTATTTATTTATTTATTTATTTATTTATTTATTCGCGCGCGCGCGCGCATGTGTGTGTGTGTGTGTGTGTGTGTGTGTGTGTGTGTGGATGTGGATGTATGCATGCTCCTAAGTTCATCCCATGCATGCAAGTTCCTGTGAAGGACATCAGATTCCCCTGGAGCTGGACTTAGGTATGGATGCTCTTTCTGAGAGGAGCAGTGCTTAACTAAATAATGCCCTTATACTTTTTTTCCTATTAATCCTTCGAAAATATTTACTTTGAAATTGTTATTAAATAGCCACAATTTGGATGGATTTCCTGGGTCTTGTCTTGTCTTGTTTTGTTTTTTTGTTTTAAATGAGCAGCTCCACACATTGTCTGGTTTCAGCATCTGTTGTATTGTCCAAATGCAGCTATAGTATTAGTGGCTTATTATTGCTTTGGGCCACAGCATACATAGAATGGACAGGTCTGCTCATTACCTGCCTGATGTACTCCGCAGGTACTGTGGAACGTGAAATTTAGTGAGCCAGAGACATACAGACTCAAATTACAAAAAAGTTAGAATAGTTGGAGTTCTTTTAAATAATGACACATTTCGAAGACATTCCAGCAGATTCTGACAGGCAAGTGTATACAAACCTACAACTGGGCAGCATGTTAATGTTTTATTTGGTGCTTCACATGTAAACATGAAGCATATAAAACTCTATGTGCCTGCAGCACAATCTGTGCATGACCAGAGCTCATAACTCCTTGTTGACTCTCACACATGAGAAGGGTTCCGAATAACCATGGCTTTCCAGCAGACTTGGCTGAGCCTTGACAGCCACTAGCACTGTGAATGTTCTGCTGCCCTTAGCCATGGCCGGTTTCATCATAACTGATGCATGGTTTCTGTGCAGCCGTGTACCTAGAACTTGTTCATTAATGGCAGCCCCGTGTTGCTCATTTCTTCATGGGCTTCCTGGAACCCCTCTGCTCTGGATCACTCCTATGTGCTACCAGTCTCCTTTAAAATCCTGACCTGATATTTTGTGTCTCAGAATCTAAACCTTTTCCTTTTTGCTTTGATATTTAAAGCATTTTGTGAGCCTGCTCCACATCAGTGCACTTCACAAAATGCACCAGTAGAGGGAGCTAAATAAAAGAAGATCAGTCCCTGAAATCAAGAAGACTAAAAGCAGAGAATACTTACAGTGAGGTGTTTTCATCCTGCCAGAACTAAAAAAAGAGCTTGATACTTGAAAATGGTTGAAATCAACCATCTTGGATCTGACACAGGTTGAGACTTGTGTGATGTTTGCTTTTTAATTATCTTATAAAAAGCTGTAGAAGGATGATCTGATAGACATGTATGTGTTAGAGGACCAGTCTATTATTTTACTCTCTTTGAAGATGGTGTTTGAGGTTGATGGAATGAGGTCACTTTGTGCAGAATTTCACATGGAATACTGGACTGTAAAATTGCTAAGTCTTATGGATAACACACAAAGTTTAAAGACAGACTTTTAAAAGTAAATTTCTTGCATATGTTTTGATTAAGTATATATGTCTTGGTTGCAGTTAGCCGACTTGAAGAAAGAGAAGCAGAACTGAAGAAGGAGTATAATGCCCTCCATCAGAGGCACACTGAGGTGGGTATTGGGTATTCTTACTATTCTAGTATTGGAGCTTGGAAATGGACTTTATATGTCTAAACTTTACTTTGAGAATTAGAATAATCATAGGCATCATTTCCAGAAGATACTAGACGTCATGTAGCATTTACCAAACTTACTTTTATTCTTTTTAACTCCAAAATTAAATTTCCATGTAGGAAATTTATATTTAGTTATTTAAGAGAGTTCCTTGGTTGGCAAGCAAAACCTTTGGTTCATATAGTAAAGAGTTTACATGATGCCAAGAAAATTGATTTGCTACCAATTTGAAAAATGCTGCATTGGTAAAATATCTCAACATTTATATAATCTAGTTGTAAGGGATTTATATCACAGTTATAACACATTGAAATGTGCTTAAAGGGATTCTAATTTTCAGCATTTTAGATTTTTGATATTTATTGATATTAATTTTTAGATTTTTATTTTTTATTTTATGTATGCGTGTCTTTCCTGCTTGTCTGTGCACCATGTAAGTGTAGTGTCTGCAAAGACCAGAAGAGGGCAGCAGATCCTCTGGAATGAGTTACAGATGGTTGTTATCTGCCTTGTGGAAACTGTTAATAACTGAACCTAGGTCACCTGGAAAAACAGCCAGGGCTTTTAACTGCTGAGCCATCTCTCCAGCTTCCTTTAGTTTTTTTTTTTGTTTTGATTTTTGTTTTTGAGACAGGATTTCTCTATGTAGACCAGGCTGGCCTCAAACTCAGAGATTCACTTGCCTCTGCCTCCCAAGTGCTGGGATTAAGGGCCGCACTTCCTTTAGTATTATTTGCATCATATAATCCCTTTGTAACACGTTTTTAAGAGTCTTTCCGTCTTTAATATGTTGTATTTATTTTTATCTTGTCAATGTGATGTTTCTGTGTGTTTCAGTCTGGGATTCACATACCTAAATGAATTTAATGCCCTTTCCTGCCTTGTGTCTTCCCCTCCCCCACTCCCTTGTTTGTATGTCTCTTTTCTGTAGCTCCGGCTTGCCTGGAATACACTGTGTAAACCAGGCTGGCCTTGAACTTACAGAATTGTACCTTCCTCTGTCTGCAATGCTGGGATTAAAGGTGTGCACCACTGATCCTGTCCATTTTCCCTTTACTAGTCCTGTTTTTTGTTACCCAATTCTAGTTTTTTTGTTTGGTTTGTTTTGAATCCCTAGTGCTGGGATTAAAGATGTGTGCTGCCACCACCTGACTTGATTCTAGTTTTTATCTACCCGTTTATTTCAGTGATGGTGATTGAGCCCAGGGTCTTGCTCATACTAAGCAACATTGTTGAGATATTCCCACAGGCCTGTCTGTAGTCTTCAGTTATTGTTTTTCTATTAATTATTTATGACAGTTAACCAGGAAAACAAAACTGTGTTTTAATAAAATACCATTTACTAGAAAGTAGTGTAATTTTAAAAACTTAGTTTGTAAAATGCTTATAGTTGATGCTTTTTATAGAATTCATTTCAGTACTGGAGTAAGGTTCTGTATGTGGTATTTACTTATATTGTTTATCAATGATAATAACTTAATATATTTGGAGAAGTATGTCTAACTGTCATAAATAATTAATAGTAATGAATGATGTTTTTAAATAAGGTTCTAACTTTCATAGTTAGAGATTATTAAATTGTGGCCTAGTATTAAAGTATACTTAAATTATTTATATTCTTTTAAAATATAAACATCCTTGAAAGAACAAATATAAAATGAAATTTCATTTTCCTTATATCTTAATTAATAAAAGTGAAGATACATTTCTATAGAAAACCTGCCATCAACTTCCCATGAAAAGGTATAATTTTTCAGTCTGTTTTCATGTCTTTAGAGATGTACACTATTGGAAGAAAAATGGTCTTAATAAAAAACTTAGTTTACCAAGTCAGTGATCTGGATCTGTCCCATCATTAGGCAGCTCTCTCTTGCTGACTGACAGCTCTTTCATAGGAGCTCTTCTGTTACAGGAGGTTCTATCTTCTGCCCTGATAAACTATTTTATTTGCCTTGAAGTAGGCTTATATAGCACAGATAAGGCTACTTTGAAATTGGAATCTGTTCACTCTAACCTAAAATTTTCTGTTTATCCAGCTGTTCTATAGAATCTATTCAATTAGCATGAGTAAATAGTTCTGTAACCCCTTAGGGGACCTTTTCAAGGTAAACTATTGTTACTTCCAACCAAGGTAGCACTTTTCAGATACAAAATTATTTTAATAGTACATTGTTTACTGTTAACAGTGCGAAATTTCTTCTGGTTCTTTGAAAATGTGAATAATTCTTTAATCAAGTAATAAATTTGTGTGCACGGCTAGATTTACTTAAAAGAGTGCCTACCTTGCCTGTGCTTATAAGCTACCTTATCAGTGCTTCAGAGGTTGAGGGTCTAACCTAGGGTAGTGAGTTCTAGGTCACGCTAGCTCTTCAACAAGACCCTTTATCAGAAAACTAATGGTGTCAGCTCACCTGGAACTGAAGGCTGTGATCTGCCATGTGGGTAGGTGCTGGAAACCAAACCCAGGTCCTCTGGAAGAGCAGGCAGTGCTCTTAACCACTGTATAGGTTACATAGGCTTGAATGCTGTACTTGCTTTTCGGAGCCTCTGTGTGTCATAGAATCTCATTGGTTTTAAGATAATAGCTTTGAGGACTGCCTGTAGAAAGATTGACCAAAATGAAAGGAATCCATGCTCTGGAAAACTTCACCATTGCTTTGCTTTTTGGTTTTGTAGTGCTGAGTCTACCTTTGCTGTGACAGTGTTTCAGTGAAGGACAGTTGGTACCTATCTCAAACAACAATTTTTCAGTCAATATGGTTGGAATTCTTCTTGATGTCTCCAGCTGTTACAGAATTTACCTCTAGCTGGGCTGGAGAGATGGCTCAGTGGTTAAGAGCACTGCCTGCTCTTCCAAAGGTCCTGAGTTCAATTCCCAGCAACCACATGGTGGCTCACAGCCATCTGTAATGAGATCTAGTGCCCTCTTCTGGCCTGCGGGGAAAGCATGTAGACAGAACACTGTATACATAATAAATAAATAAAAAAGAATTTACCTCTAGCTATGCAAATTAATTTGCAAACTGAGAAAATTGATAGTTTATCTGAGATGGGAAAGGGCTAAAACTGGGAGACTCAATTCTACCTTGTCTAAAAAATGCCCTGTTCCACTCTTGAATTTCTTTTCTATCTGAAATACTGGCTTTCTCCCTTCCCCTACTACTCCCCGCCCCTTTTAGAATCATAACCATATTGTGAATCAGTATTAAAATTTTATGTGCAATGTAGTTATTTTCTTCTGTTTGTTTGTGAGATATAGCTTGTTTTAAACATACGGAAATGTTTTAGGGCGTGGGGTTTTCTTGTGGGTGTGAGGAAGAAAGGACAATGAGCTCATTGCTTGCATGCAGAGTTAACTAAAAGGGCAGATGCAACATGCATGGGTCCTGAAGGGTTTAACCTCTCAAGTAGCTGCATCAGACAGTTTTGAGTCCTGGCTTTAAAGCTAATGACAAAAACAGTTCATTGTTAGCTAGATAACAGCAAGTTATTTTATCCTATACATGGCAGTTACCTGTAAAATTGTGATATATGAGGATTAAATTAAAAATAGTTTTAAAAATAGTTAAAATGGTTGGCATTCGCTATGATGGCTATTGTTTTGTTGTTCCTCTGTCCTGGTAAGGGCTACTTTTGTTTTGTCTATATTTTCACATTGGACCATTTTGGATGCCAAGATATAAGTCATTTGATGCAGCATTTTCTAAATCTTAAGTATTTAAATATTTGAGATAATAAAGAATCAATCTAGAGTAAGCTATTTGGATGTAAAATTGATTTTATCTTTACATTTTGCTTATTGTGTATTATTGAGTAAATTAATTGCTATAAAAGCAATCTGGAGGAAGTTTCTTTACTTTCTCCCATTTGAACAGATTGCCTCTATATGATGACTGTCCAGGTATAAGAACTCAAGCATGGTTTTCTAAAACCTTTTTGATAATTTTATTTGTATATATTAGTCCCAACATTCATTTTGCTATATTAGTCTCAGTTTAATTTTTTCTTGATACAAGAAGAAAGCAGTTCTTTATTTTTGATTTGCTGAATCAGCCAAAAATTTTTATGAAAAATTCTTTTCAAAATAGTATGGAAGAGCCAGGTGGTGGTGGTGCACGCCTTTCATCCCAGCACTCGGGAGGCTGAGGCAGGTGGATCTCTGTACAGCCTGGTCTGCGGAATGAGTTCCAGTACAGCCAGGGCTACACAGAGAACCTTGTCTCAAACACCCCTCCCCTCAAAAAAAAAAAAAAAAAAAAAAGCACGGAAGAGAAAACTATCCATTTAAAATAAAAACATATAAATAGCCTTGTGATTCTATATTCATATTTCTTTACTGTTAATTTTTCTCATTTAGACTAGCCTTTTTTTTAAGTTGTGTGTGTGTGTGTGTGTGTGTGTGTGTGTGTGTGTGTGTGTGTGTACACCAGGTGTCTATGAATTCCCATGGAGGTCACTCAGCCTCTTTAGCTCCTAACTAGTGCTTTTCAAAATTAGCCAGGCAGTGGTGGTGGATGCCTGTAATTCCAGCACTCAGGAGGCAGAGGCAGACAGATCTCTGAATTCAAGGCCAGCCTGGTCTTCAAAGTGGTCTACAGAGTGAGTACCAGGACAACCAGGGCTGTTACAAAAAGAAATCCTGTCTCAAAAAACAAAACCCTAAAAGCAAAACAAAAACAAACAAAATTTTACTGTGTGTGTGTGTGTGTGTGTGTGTGTGTGTGTGTGTGTGTGTGTATGTGTGTGTTAGTGTTATATGTGGAAGAGGACAACTTGTGATTCTACCTTCTACCATGTAAGTCCTGGGTATCGAACCCACATCCATACTCAACTTTCCTATCATATGCCTCCTTATCTGACTCAGAATCAAAGTATTCTGGTATTTTTATTTCTATTAATTTGTTACTATTTGTTCCTATTATCATAGATGATTATATTAAATACTGATGCTAGTAAATTAGCAAAGGAGAAAGTACTTTAGAATTCTCTCAACTATAAATCTACAGAATTAATTAAAATACTGTCATTAAATTAGATTGAAATTATTTTTACTCTGGTTAGTTCCTTTTAGTGAGGAAAGATGAACATACATAATTTTTTCTCAAGTTTGACATTAATTTCTTTGTTTCCCATTTTAAGTGAATAGGTTTCTCAAATGCTATTCTTTTTAACCAGCAATCTCTTATAACCTCCTACCAATGTTTGCATACTAATTTATATTATTTATGCCAATATTACTTAATAATATCACTATTAAACAAAACCATTTTTGCATTGCAAAGGAAGATGATAACTACTTTTACTGGTTTTAGCATTTTTCTTTGCCATTACAATTATTTCATTCCTTAATACTCCTTTACATGAAATTGAATAATCGTTAAATAAGAAAGTTGTACCAAAATGTTTCATTTGTTATAATTCTGTGCTTAATTTTAGGTGGATAGCCTAAAGTTTTGTATCTATTTTTTTCTTTCTTAATATAGATGATCCATAATTATATGGAGCACTTAGAAAGAACCAAACTTCATCAGCTCTCAGGGAGTGATCAACTAGAGGCTACAGCTCATAGTAGAATTAGGTAAGCTTTGTTATACATTTTTGCCTGAGAAAATCTATCTTTTGTTCCTGTTTTTCCTGTCTTTTAATCTGAAAACAATAGTCTGCTTCCAAAAATATTCCACTGTGTTTGGTATGCAAAGGGAAAGAATAGCATGCAAAAATAAAAATAACCTTTAAAAAGGTATGAACCTTATAAATTATAAGCAACATATTGTAGGATTTTAATTTATTTTTTTGATTGTTGGTGGGAAAGCAGAGTAGGTTTGAACTTTTCCAGTTTGTGGGCATGCCAAAATTTTTTTCATTTCTCCCATATAATTGGTCCTTTTTGTTGCAAAGAGGCGTGCTTGAAAGGATTAACCAGCCATCTGTTTGATGTAGGAGTGTGAATAAATTATGTAGATCTGTAGGTATTGTAGCCAATGAGCTAAGCCAAGACTCTTAGTGGAGAGGAGCATAGTTAATAGGCTGGCTGTCCTCTGGGTTGCTGCATAAAAGCTAGGAGCAGACGCTCTGTGGTTATGAGGTGGGGAGAGCGGAATGACGTCATCACTTGGGAGCCGCTGCAGGATGGAATGGAAAGCTGCTGCTGATGGCATTGTTTTTGTGGCAACGGCTGAATGACAGATCCTCACTACAAAGATACCCCTTTGGCCCCCGTGTAGGCCTCCTGCTTCGGACGTTTCACCATGCCAGCACAGCGCCATGAATCCTGGATGCATGCTGCTGTTTGTGTTTGGCTTTGTTGGCGGGGCGGTGGTCATTAACTCTGCTATCCTAGTATCTCTCTCTGTTTTGCTGCTTGTGCACTTTTCTATTTCTACCGGTGTGCCAGCGCTGACGCAGAACCTACCAAGGATACTCAGGTACTCCAGTCTCTCTTGGAAGCTCTTGCTTCGCCGGTGGTTTTTTTCCTTTTCTTTTTTTAATTCTTAGCACCATGCATCTGCTTTGTAACCATTTCGGTTGCAGGTTCAGACAATGGAAAAAAGGCCTCAAGCTAGGATGTCTATTATTTTATAGGTTCCTAAATGGAACCCTGCTTTGTGTTTGGAAATTATAGACCAAAGAAAGGGATTTTTGTTGTACTTGTACACAAATACAAGGTCAGTGTGGTCTGAATGTTGAAGAGTAGAGGAAGAGCAAGCGCCGAGGCCCAGGGCCAAGTTTGTATAGCTCTGGATTTAGCTTCTGAGTACTGAGGGGCAAATTGCTTTTATTGTGGGTGTTGCAAATGGTTGGCCACAGAATATAGGCTTATTTTGTTTGAGTTGCCCTTTGCCTGAGGAAAGGTTTGCTATGAGTTTCATAATTTTTAATAGCAGTTCATGGAAACTGATATTTTCCTGCTACCATAGAATATGTTTTAAACTAAAAACAAATCTAAAATTTTAAATCAAAAATAGAATGCCTTTGCCTCTCCCTGTTATTTGCACATCAAAGTTGTGAGAGCAAGAGCTTTACAAAGCCTATTCACTATTGTTTGGTCAGATGTCGCCCTTTCTTTTCTTTGTACTCCTGGGGGACAAATGTCCATGCCTGCTTGTGGGGGTGGTCAGCAGCCTGTGTAGATTTGCTCCTGTTCATTCTACTTGCAGCTTGAGTGAACCACATGCCACATCTTAAATGTTGATGGCTTTGCTTTCTTGTTTTCTAACTCATAAGCTCAAAGTATCTGATTTGTTGAGATTTCTGTTGTGTTCATGATTTTAAGTTCATAGAATTTAGTTCATTACTGTTTAAGTGATTACAAAACCACTTAGATCCTAATTCTGATTTAGGCAAGAAGAATGGAAGTAGTTTCCTCCATGTAGTTCTTTTTATTCAAAGGCCAGCTCACTCAGAAATTAGATCTCATATAAGGTCTAAAACTACTTGGTCATTTATTTTCTTTCATTTTTACTTGTTTTGAGACAGGTCATGTAGCATTAGTTGCCCTTGACCCCTACAGAAAGTTTACCCTCAGTGCTGGGATTGTTTCTTGCTGGGTTCTTTCCTGGTATATAAAAGTGAGGAACAATTTGTCTATGTATTCTTAGGAAGTAAGGAAATGTGTGTGATATTAATGTGACTAATAATCAGGGGCTGTCTTAGGCTTAGGTTCTGTTGGAGAAGGCATTGCTATGAAGTGGCTAAACTTGGAGCTGCACTGTCCCGTGAATGCAGCCCTTGGGCTTTTGGCAGTTTGTTTCATCCCTTAGTGTTCTTCTCTTAAAGGATTTACCTCAGTGATTTGATTTAAAAATCAAGTGAGCTGTTAGTTTTTACTTCTTTACAGTTACAAGATGCATGCTCCATTATATAAGCAAGTCAGCTTCACAGTCATTTGTGTATCTCACATTTTTGGTAGAACTGGTTTTTAATCTCAGTCCTGCCATTACTATTACATAAAGTCCTGGATGTCATTTTTCCTATTCTGAAATTTGAGAAAGCAGTGCCTCTTTCCTGGTTGGTTAGATCAAGTAATGTAATCTGTTATCTGGCTCAGTACTTGCCACATGGTGAATTGTTCAATGCATGTAATCTTTTGTCTTGTCCTTTTTCTGTAAGGTAGATCTTACTAATCAGTTGTTTTTGTTGTGAGTATAGCCAAGAGGCTATTTGAAATAAATATTTTCAAAATCAGATATACACATAAGCTAACATTTAAGTAACCAACTTAAAAATCAGTAAATGGAGCTAAAGCCACTAGCTAGATAATATATTAAAGATTCTGATACTTGACAGCTTTCCTTCTGTTAGGGAGTAAAATAGCTAGACAGTGATTGCAGGTGTTTCAGTTTAGGGATTTAAATCTGCCACTTGGTATTTTCTACAAGCTCTCCATTCTTTGGCTAGCTTTTCTGTGACTTTTATTGAAGGGTTTAATACATACAGTACCACACATGCACACCAACATAGTTCAAGGCTAGTGTTTATCTTGCAAGAGTTTTGTTTTGAGAGTGGATACTATCAAACTCACATAACTACACGTCTTGCCCCATCAGTTATCTAATTGATCAATACAGAGAGAAGCATATGGTAATAGTACTTTTCTGAGCTGGAGCAGAGAAAACCATGCCATCTTTGACATGTTTGACAAATATCTGAAAGTCCCCTTTCTAGAGATCTCTCTCTGAAGAACTGATAAAAGCAAAAGAGAGTTGGAAATTTTACTTGTGTTTTAGATTATATAGGTGGAATATGAAAGGCTCGTAACTCTTTATTTTGTCAAGTTAAAGAAAAAAACAAAAACTCAATATCATTTAACAAGAAAAAAGAGGGTTGAGATTTAAGAACAAAGAAGCAGAAATGATGTAGTTTAAAGTAAGAGCTAATAAGTCTTAAGAAACAAGTTCTGTTGCCTGGGAATAAAAAAAATGTTAAAGTGCTATGTTATCCGTAAGGAAAACATATTCTTCTTTTTGTCGTTGACTTATAATATCTTACTAGTGCTTGTTTTGTTTGAAAAGGGCATTTACTTATTTATATGTGGAGGTCAGAGGACAACCTGTAGGAGTTAGTTCTTTGCTGCCATATGGGTCCTAGAGATTGAACTCAGGTTGTCAGGCTTGGTAACAATTGCCTTTATCCACTGAGTCATCCCTCCAGCCCTGCTTTTATTTTTGTTTTTATTTTGTTTTGTTTTTGAGACAGGGTCTATTGTGAAACAGGCTGGGCTCTGTCTTGCTTTGTGTGAAGGGTGACCTTGAACTCCTGATCCTCTTCCTGTCACTACCTCACAAGTGCAGAGGCTGCAGGTGCGCACCACCACTCCCAGCAAAGAAAGTATTGTAGTTTAGGAAAACAGCACTCAAGAAAAAGATGCCATATGACAGGGTTCAAACAGACTTTTTTTTTTTTTTTTTTAATTAGGGAAAGAGATCATAAAGGGGGAAAGGGAAATGGGGAGACCAGCCTCCAGAGCCAGGAGCATCAGGAGGGGAGGGGAGGGGAGAGGAAAAATGTGAAGGGGAGAGAAAGAAAGAAAGAGAAGGATGAGAGATGGGCAGAGCCCCTTTAAAAGGGAACACAGTAGATGTGCACAGGTGGTGCCCTTAGTGGCTGCAGCAGAGGACGTATCCTGTCAGAACCCCAACGACAGGCCAGTACAGATAAGATGCCTGAATACTAACAGAAAAACTTTTGAAAAAGAGCTGGTCTTTTTTTCCTGGCAGTGGTTTTCTTCTCTGTACTCTGTCTTAAAGGAACTAATATAGAATGGTTTGTAGAAAACTAGAACTTTCATTAAAAAAAAAAAAAAAAAAAAAAAAAAAGCTTTTACTATTGAATAGTATTCCTGTTTCAAAGAGTATATTCATTTTCCACTAGGCAGAAAAAGCCTACCCTAAAAACACCCAGAACACCCAGTTGGCTGTAGCTTGAGGGAGCAGGGAGACTAGGAACAGGGATTGGAGAGTTGCCTTTCCCTGCACCCCATGACTATTAACCTACACGATCAAAACTCAGCAGCTCTTCACCATGGTCACCAGACCAGATCATCACCAACTTCCTGGCAGAGGCAGGTGTAATCCCGGCACAGCATGCTGAGGCAGGAGGATCTCCAGTACTGGGTTAGACTAAGCTAATTACTGAGACTTTCTCTCTAAACCACCTAAAACCAGCCAACCAAAAAACAACATTGTCCAGTTTCTCAACACTTTTCTTAATTTTGGGGGCTAATGTAAACTTTCTACACTGTCCTTTCTCATTGGTATATATTTATTTAGGAGTGCATACAGTATTATTTAGGAGAGCTGATTGCAAACTAATGAGACTATAAGCTTCCTATGGCCCAGGTAGACTTTGACCTTGTGATCCTCCTGCCTCATCTCCAAGTAGCTGGGGTTACAGGTCTGTTCACAGCCTAGGCTTTTAATTCATAGTCATGACAAAAAAATTAAAATGAATGTTTAATTTTTTCCCCTCTTGAAATAGAAAAGAACGTCCTATATCATTAGGAATTTTCCCACTACCTGCTGGAGATGGATTGCTTACACCTGATGCTCAGAAAGGAGGCGAGACTCCAGGATCAGAGCAATGGAAATTTCAGGAATTAAGTCAGCCACGTTCTCATACCAGCCTGAAGGTAAGCTTTATTTTATCAGTTTACACTTTATAACCTTTCTTATTCAAATAGAAAGAAGTAGCAGGAAACCAAAGGATACTGAAAAGCCAAATAGCTTACTGAATGAAAGTGCTTGCCACCAGCCCTGACAATCTAAGTTCAATCCTTATGATCCACATGATAGAAGGAGAGAGCCAACTTCTGATTATCCTCTGGCCTCTACACAACCATCATGGCTCTAGTTCACACCTAATTCCATCTCACACAGACATATGCATAAAGTCTAAGTTTAGAAAATGTAATAGTTTATATACATTTTCATTTGAAAGTTATCTTTAAAAAGAACAAAAACAAAACTTGAGATGAGCTCTTCCCAGGGGGTGTGTATTTTTGCTAGTTAATTTTAAGTTGCATAGGGAAACAAAACCAAATACTGTTATACCTTTATTTTAGTTAGGGTTACTATTGCTGTGATGAAACATTATGACCAAAGCAACTTGGGGAGAAAGAGTTTATTTGGTTTATGGATCACTGTTTATTGTCAAAGAAAGTCAGGGCAGGAACCTGGAGGCAGGGGCTGATGCAGAAGCCCATGGAGGAGTGCTGCTTACTGGCTTGCTCCTAATGGTTTGCTCAGCTTGCTTTCTCATAGAATCCAGGACCACCAGCCCAGGGGTGGCCCCACTCATAATGAATGGGCTGGGCCCTCCAACATCAATAACTAATTAAGAAAATGCCCAATAGATTTGCATACAGACCAATTTTAATAGAGGCATTTTCTCAATTTAGGCTCCCTCCTTTCTGATGACTCTAACTTGTGTCAAATTGACATAAAACTAGCCAGCACTATCTTGGTTAGTATACTAATGACAAGAATTTCTTTTATATTTAGTCTCCGTAATGCAAATCTAGAATTTAAGACTTGTGGGCCTAATTAGGATTTTGTTTGTGTTTGGTTTTTACTTTTTTGTTTTTGTGGTGCTGGGGATAGAACTTAGGTTCCTGTTTGGGACCTTTTACCCAGAGATTCTAACTTTATTTATTTATTCTTAGTATTTTTGTTGGTGGTAGATCACATACATGTCAAGGCATATTTGTGGAAGTCAGAGGACAGCTTTTGGAAATTTTTCTCTCTTCCAACATAGGGTCTAGGAATAGAATTCGCGTATGTCCGGTTTGTGCTGCAAGCACTTCTGTCTACTGAGCCATCTCTCCAAACATCAGCCGGGGTTTGTGTGCATGATGAGCAAGCCCTTTACTGAGATATACTACTGTTTATTTTGAAACAGTGTCTTACTAAATGCTCAGGTCACCTTTGAATTCATGCAGCTGTAGTTCAAGCTGGCCTTGAACTTGTGATGATCTTCTTGCCTTAGTCTTAGAGTAGCTGAGATTTTAAGTGTACACACCATCAGGCTTGGTTTGTCTCTCTTTAATCCCAGCATTCAGGAGGCAGAAGCAGAGGCAGGCAGATCTCTAAGTTCAAGGCCTGTCTAGTCTACAGAGAGTTCCAGTACAGCAGGGCTACACAGAGGAAACCCTGTATTTAAAAAACAAAAACAAACAAAAAAACTATATACATGATTTTATATAATTGTGTGTGTATATGTTTTATGTGTGTGATACACACACACACACACACACACACACACACACGTCTATGCACCAGCTATATGTAGCATCTGGGTGCAGTGCCTGCAGAGGCTACAATAGGATACTGAATCCCCTGGAACTGAAGTGGTTGTATGCCACTCAGTGTGGGTGCTAAGAACAGAACCCAGATCCTTTTCTTGAGCAGCAAGTGTTTGTAAGCATGGAGCCATCTCTCCAGCCTCGTATTTAATTAAAAATTACTGCCACCTACAATCTGTGTTTCACTGTTGGAAATCTGACACTTTATTGGGCTTTACTTTTATTATTAATAATTTGAATCAGGATCTTACTATGAAGCCCAGATTGAGCTTGAACTCAACGTAGTCCTCCTACCTCAGCTTCCCAAGTGCTAGGATTGTAGGTATGCCCAGCATGCTCAATTATTTCACTTTAAAGACACAACAGCACATTTTTCCTTCCTTAAAACTACTTTATGAAAATTATATATAAATTGCGTTGTGTTTAGCCAAAAAGTTTTGGTGTTAATTATTTAGGAGTGTATTTTGATCTAGAACAATTTAGCAAATAAGTGATAAATGTAATTCACAATGTACTTTGAGAAGAGATAGATATATTAACAATATTCAATGTTTCTAAGTTAGTCATGGTTGCATGCTATTAGGAAGGTTGAAGCAGGAAATTTCTAATCAATTTGAATGTAGCATCTGCTACATAATGAGTTTGATACAACCTAGGCTACAGAGTGAGATCCTATCTCAACATCACAGAGAGAGAAGGGGTGAGGAAGAGAAAGCTATCATTTGAATTTATCCTGGGCAACATAAGGCATCACAGATCTTACCTCAAAAAACAAGCGCATAAAAGTTTAAAGTTATGTTCTAGATCTTATAAAATAGAATATTCATAAGAGGTTTATTGATTATTAAAACCAAAGCCAACCAGGCATGGTAGAGCACACCTTTAATCCAATCCCAGCACTCTGAAGTAGAGGTAAGGCAAGTCTCTGTGAGCCTGATCTACCTAGTGAGTTTCATTCAGCACATATGAGCCTGTCTCCAAAAGAAGGGGAAAAGAAGAAAAAAAAAAAAAAAAAAAGGAAAAGTAAAGGCCTTGGTATATTGTAAAAATCCACTGTGTCATTAAACAAACAAATGGCTTATTTATTTATATATAAGTGAATCCTTTTTCCCCCTCCTTTTTAGTGAGACATGGTATGGCCTCAGGTATCCCTCTAGCCTCCAAGGATAACCCTGAATTTCTGATATACTCCACATCCTGAGTGCTAGAATTATGGTAGGCATGTGCCAGTACACCTGGTTAATGTGGTGCTAGGAACTGAACAAAGACTTCATGTATGCTAAGTAAGCACTTGGCCAACTGAGTTAAATGCCCAGCTCTTTATATCCTTCTTGTCCCCATCCAATAAGATTTATCATTAATAAGTACCTGTTAGTATCTTCTAAAAGGCTAAACCATTTATTTACTTACCTTATTTCTCTCTATAAGAACATAGTTAAAGGGAATTTATGTACTGTTACATTCTTATCATTTAGGAAAGAGTTCAGCAAATTGCAGGAATTCAGTGCATGTCTTGTTGAAACAGGGTCACACTATGTATTCTAGGCTGGTGTTACACTTGTAATTCTCCTGCCTCAACCTACTGAGTGCTAGGATTATAGACATACACCACCATACCCAGCTAGAACATGTAGCCGGTTGTGAGCCACCATGTGGGTGCTAAGAATTGAACTCAGGATCTGGAAGAGCAGCCAGTGCTTTTAACCTCTGAGCCCCTGGGGAGCTGTGTTTTAATTAGTATCCAAACTGAACTCTAAGGGAAAATTGTTGTAATTCTTTCATTTAATCCAGTAACATGTTTTAACAGAATCTTATTGGCAAATTTCAAACCAATTAAAGATGATTAATAATAAGTTCACTCTAGAAGTACAAAGATACATTGCTCTCCAAAGAATTTGTAAAACCAAATTCAGTTGGTTTGTACTTGATCTGTGGAAAAGCTCAGTAGGTAAGTTTCACGAACAAGGTAGTACATGGCAGAATGTGAAGTCCAGTTTGTAAAGTATGCTTACTAATTAGAATCCATGTTATTACTAGCTGAAGTCCTTGAATTAACCAGAAGCCTTTCTCTGATTTTTGTCAAGACCTGAGAGTCGGGACTTGATTTCCCACACTGACCATGCACGACACATACCCTCTCATCTTGGTTTTCATGAGACAGGGATTTGAACAGACTCTGTGTGTGTGTGTGTGTGTGTGTGTGTGTGTGTGTGTGTGTGTGTTTGTGTGTGTTCATGTTCATGCACTGGATGTGCTGGTGTGTACCATTCACTGTTCCCAACTTTTACTTGGTTGCTGCAATTCTCATTTCTCCTGAGAACTTTGATAAAGACCTAGCTATGTTTAGGGAGGTCATGCTTTGACTTCACTGTGAAAAGAAAAATTAAAGGTTACAATTATTAGTCTTTAATTTTGCTATCACAACTGTTTTTGAAGTAAGATGATTATATGAGAACATTCTGTGAGAAAAATTGCACAAGTGTAACAGGAGGCAATAGAAAACTTTGATGGAGGAATACTACAAAGGAGATTTGCCAATGATGCTAAAGTTATGAGCTTTTTTTGATTTGTTGAAAATTCACTAGTGTGAAAGATGTGTCAACAGTGAATAAGAATTATGAGGGTTTCTGAGAGTGATGTACCTAAAAACTGTACAGGCCTTTTTTTTTTTCCTCTCCTAATACATTTTAGTGGTGATAGACAAGTAAGTAAATGATAGAATTTCAAGTATTATTATGTGCCATTAAGAAAGCAGAAGTAAAACTGGGTGTGTTACTTACTTTTAATTCCAGCACTTTGGAGGCAGAGGCAAGCAGGTCTATATAAGCTTAAGGTTAGGCTGGTCATAGAGACTTTGAGACCAGCAGGCCTATCCAGTGAGAACCCTGCCTTTAAAAGAAAAAGAAAAATTGTGGTACATGCATTTGATTCCAACACTCAGGAGGTAGAGGCAGGTGGATCTCTAAATTTGAGGCTACTGGACTACCTAGTAAGTTCTAGGACAGTCAGGACTGTCACAGAGAGATCTGTCTCAAACAAACAAAATAAAACAAAACAAAAACCAAAAAGCAAACTAAGGGTCAGCAAGATAGATTATCAGATAAAGGCACCTTCCACCAAGCCTGACTGTGTGAGATACCTGAGAGCTATATAATGCGAGGAGAGAATGGATTCCTCCTGCAAGCTGTCTCCTGACTGCTCTATGCATACACATGCACATATGTGGATACACACAAGCTGAGATTTAATGGAAAAGAAAAGAAAGCAGAGATAGATGTTGAGCACAATCCATGTGAGATATATATATGTATGAAAATGTTACAGTGGGA